TTCAAGTCGGATATTTTATCATATGTCAAATATATCAGTTTTCTGCGTAATGGATTGCTGTGCGAGTGAGAAAACTGTTCGCATTGACCCATTATCATTTGACAGCATGAAAAACCGTTTCTCTTAATGGCAAGGTAAACATTCGACTTTACTAGCATCGTGAGAGAGTGATTGCAAGTGTGCAAACTGGGAATTCAACGTGCGTGCGCGAATGAGTTTAGTGCGCATCGCTAAAACGGAATGTCAGCAGATAACCGAGCATATGGCCATGGTGCAAGTTTGCACCAACACACATGGCTCCCCTAGCAATATATATGAGTTGTCGAGAATTGAACATATACCAAAGAGACGAACTTGGCAAGACGAGCATACGTGTCCTCGTTGTAACTCGCGAAATAATGTTTGTTAACTTTTCAAGCTAGCTTTTCGGCTCAGCTATTGTCTCGTAATCCCGTTAATCGCAGTGCAGCAAAGTACACCCAAGAGCTGAGAAAGAATCTACGAAAACAGAGATTAAACTACTTTACAAATTCTGGTACAGAAGAATTGGCGAATAGATATTCCATATTGTCCCGACGTTACAATCTAGACAGCTGCATTTAACAGCTTTGTAATTGTACATGTATTTCTCGGCTAACTTTCATATTGTAGAGCAAATTGCACGAAACATTATATATATTTACGCGTACTTTTATCTCTTGGAGTATTTGAGAAAAAAAGAAAGAAAATGAGAGAGAGAGAGAGAGAGAGAGAGAGAGAGAGACTAATATATTATAAAATGCAATTTTGAGTAACAAGATTATTTATGTTTTTTGCAAAAGTAAAAAATATAAGATCTATAGTTGTAAAATACGGAATTGTTGCGGATCATTTCTGATCTTTTCTCGTTTAATATACTCTTTGTAGTCGATCAGACATTAGTTATAAGATAATTGACGTTCGATTAATTACAGCTCGTACTCAACGTTCTTCATTGTCTGAAATAGCTATTTATTCACGAAACAGTTATATACACTTTGCCAACAATTCCCATGGATCCCTTTTATCTTTTCTATCTTTTATATTTTTTTTTTATGCATCTTGGTCAATGGAAATTCGTGCTTTTGATGTGAAAGAAAATTTAACGATTGCTTTTAGAACGGTTTTATCTACAAGTCTATCCAAAAGCTTACAAAAACATTTGAACCATAATATTCATTTGTTGGTCTAAGAAACACAAATTTACGTTAAATTATTGAAGAAGTAAACGTTAAATAGATTGGCTCAAATTAAGTATAATATTCAATTAAAATTATTGCGGCAAAGTTAATTTGAGCATAGATTTATTTAATTCTTCTTTGTCATCTTTAATAAGATGGAGCCTATATGTTAGATTTTTAATCTTATTTATCTTTAATAATTATTAGTATTTTGATTATGGGAAAATAATCGCGCGTAAAAGATGAACTTTGGATTTGATGTAAAAATCAATTTCTAAAGAAGCTAAAGAGAATATAAGACATAGTTTAGGCCGTCATTAATATGTAATTTCTGAATAGTGAGCCTTGCAACGCACGTACTCGCGGTTAAACCGATTTGCAATCGAACAAAATTCATAGCGCACGTCCTCGTAATTCCGTCCACGATTCAGTGCACCTGACATTTTAACAACGATCGTAATGGCACGCCATACGCAAGTTTCCAGATCGTTATACACAGTTAACTGCGTTTCGGATTAATTGATGAGCACAATTGAGTCTGACGGTGATCCAGTCCAAGTAAAACTGGTCAAATCGTGTTTAAGTATTATTATATGTTTGTAATATAATAACATCTCTGCAAGTTTGGATTCATTTTCGGATATGCGTCTCAAATCCGAGTCACGCCTCTTTCATTATCGAGGATCCAATTAGTATGATTCAAAATGTTCCGATGCGAAGAACATAATAAGTATAGAACGAAACTTCGATTTTCATTTCGAATTTTGCTTCATTTCCTTGTTCTGCTTTATTTTCCTCTCTATATCTGCTTTCCGAAAGAGACTCTTATGTGTATTCCTGTAATCCTTACGAAAATTACTTGGAGGTAATTTCGAAAATTGCTTCGACTATTATACGATTCTGCAAATCGAATTATCTTTTCTCTATACCTCCGGGAAAAAATACGCGCGGAAGTTTTTGCTACTTTTCAAATGAGTGCCAGCGCACTCAATCTTGTTACTGGCGTTGCATTTTATCACGTGCCTATAACGTCTCCAATATCGGCAAGAGTCGCTTTTCCGATTGTTTCCCGTTTTCCACTCTATTTCCACGCGTACAATTTTTTGTCCACACGATTCTTCTACGTAGTAGACGATTTTAAATAGTATTGCATTCATTAAATGGATACCCCCCCTTTCGCCCCCCCCCCCCTCGCTTCATAA